ACTTTGCCAAATTTTAAAACCCCAGCAATAATCCGGGGCTGAATCAAACATCTTGTTTGGTCTGAAGTGAAGCTTTCATTTTGTTTGTAGGTGGCTTTCCCCCCACACTGGAGAAAAAAAAAAAAACTAGAAAAAAATTCAAAATGAAATGTCATCTCGAAACAGATGGCTGAAAGGTTTCATTTTGAAAATGTCAAAATGAAACTTTTCAGTGTTTCACTTTTTTTCCCCAGCCAAAACCACTTGCTAAATACAACCTGAATTCGTGAGCTCTTTCTGTTGACTGAAACCTGAATTATTCGGTGCATAAGCTGTTTGGTGGAAGCCTTTTTTTGCAGGCCTGTGTACACCCCACACACAGTGCATCCTGCTGCAGAGGGGAGGGAAGGAGAACCCTCTAGCATGTCCTACAGCAGAGAAGCATCACAAGAAAGGAAAGCAAAAGCCCAGGGAGGTCTTACCGTGGCAGCAGACCTCTGCAGCTTCGTTTCGGGTGCTGGAGGGGCTTCCCGTGCAGCGGAGGGAGAGGGGGGTGCTGCGGCCCCGGGTGGGAAGGACAGGGTGGTCCTGCCTGTCTCATGGGACCCAACGCGGAGCAGCGGGGCACCTCGCTCAGTTCTGGACGCGCAGCCCTGCAAGACAGGATGAGGAAGAGTGTGAAGATGAATTTTTCTCCCTCCAGCACAATCTAGGCAGAAAAGGAGGGAGGTCTGGGGAGGCTGAGGCCAAGCACAGCTAAGGGATTAGGGCAAGGTAGTGGCAGCGTTCATCTCTGGATCGCTGGTTGGCTGGTGCCAGGTCTGTTCCCTGACTCTACTCCCCCCCATGCAGCAGTTTTCATCTCCTCTTGCCCTGTTCTCATGGTGTAATAGCCCACCTGCTCACCAGCACAGGGCTTTCCATGCCATGGCCTCACAAGAGATAAGCAGGAGAACATCCTAAGTACCACACCCGCAGCAAACCCAAACTGAGGAACCTGCCCTGCTGGAGAGCATCTCCAGGAAGAATTGTTCCCTCCCAGCCATGGCCATCAATCATTTCAACTAGCCCACACCACAGGAGCAGGGGCAGACAAACATTGAGGAAGGCTTTGCCCAGCTGACCTCCCTTGCTCAGGGAGGGATGATGTTCATCTCAGAACTGGCCAAAATCAGATCCTAGGGATGAGCTCTAACCACCACCTGGGAACCAGCTCAGGGCTGAGCAGATCCTTCTTCCAGCAAAGCCCATGGCCCCTCTCCCATGCCCCGAGGCCACAGGAGGGTGGTCCTGGCTGCTAGTCCCAGGAACTGCCTTCCCCCAGGACCACAGCCAGGTCATTCCATCCCTACACCCAGAGGCTTGTCTCCCAGCTTGGTTTCTAGGTGACATTGTGTTGCTGGAGGACAACGCAATGGAGCCCTGAACCACACACACAAACCTCCCACCTCCAGCAAGCTGGAATCAGGTTTTGACTGCAAAGTTCCCTGTCCTCCCACCTCCAGCAAGCTGGAATCAGGTTTTTGACTGCAAAGTTCCCTCTTTAAGAGTTTTCAAGCAAAAGCAAAATCCAGCAGCCCCAAATTCTGCCCTGAATTCGGGGCCTCAACACACAGGAAATATTTTAAGTTTACTTTAATCCTCCTTTCTCTTCCTCTCCCAAATTACCCACCAGTGCTGTCCCAAGACCCTGCATTTCCTTGCCAAGCACTGTGACTCCTATCATTCCCCAAAGAGCCGCAGGATTCCTGGGGTGCATTCAAGAGTTTTCAAGCAAAAGCAAAATCCAGCAGCCCCAAATTCTGCCCTGAATTCGGGGCCTCAACACACAGGAAATATTTTAAGTTTACTTTAATCCTCCTTTCTCTTCCTCTCCCAAATTACCCACCAGTGCTGTCCCAAGACCCTGCATTTCCTTGCCAAGCACTGTGACTCCTATCATTCCCCAAAGAGCCGCAGGATTCCTGGGGTGCATGAACAGTGTGCAGCAGAGGAACAAAACAGGTCAGATGCAGGAGGACATCCCCAAGAAAACCCCCAAATCTTTTATTATCATGATTTTGGGTTGGATTAAAACCTGGTTTATGTTCCACAGGAAGCTGGGTAAGGAGGCCACATGCCACAAAATCCTATGAAAGCAAGACCTCACACGTAAACCTGAGATGCAAAAGTCTGGTACAGAGTTCAGGTTAGAAACTGAGGTTCATTTTTGTTTGCCTTTTGCCTCTGGCTCAATCCAGGGGCAGCAGCGCTGAGATGCTGCAGGAGCATTACCCTCCAGCACGAGCACGCACCACAAAATGCCAAGACTGGTGTCAGAAAACCTGTTTTTGCAAGATCACTAGCCTGATTGCTAGATGAAAGAGGATTAGATGAAGCTTAGACTAAGCATCTCAACAGTATCAGACCATAAGATGATGCTCAGCCGTCGGTACTGCTAAGGTAACATAGAGACAGAGTTATCTGCTAAGAGAGAAAATCTTACTTCAGAGAGCTCTCCTTGGCACAAAATAAAAGGTTTTTGCCAGGTCCTCAGTACGAGAGGCTACATGTCCGCAGGGGCAAGGCAGACCTGGAGCCTGCCGGATGGAGTCACATGGAATAAGAGGCAGACTTGCTCCAAACTCAAACCGCCTCCCAAGTTCAGGGGGCGGCAATCGGAAATTAAGCCCATCTGTTCCTAAACCATTGCACTAGTGGAGAGGTGAGCAGGCTGAGAAACACGAGCTCTAAAGAAAATCAAAAGCGCTTGAAACAGAGCCAGCAAGCTGCCCATCAGCGAGGGGGATGCTATGTCTCCAAGCTCATTGCAGCAGTGAGCTGCAGATCTCAGCCCAGACCTCAATTCAATCTCTTGAGCTGCAGCAGCACAAGGGTCCCTTGCATTAGCCCACCCTGGTAGGGATGAGGTGAGGCAGCCAAAGCTCCCCAAAACTCACAGATGAGCTGCAGACAAGGGAAACTGAGGCAGGCAGGTGGTGCCACACCAGCTCTGGAGCTACCACAGCTCAACTCCCCAGCGAGCCCCACGGCTGCAGCAATGCCAGCCCTGGCAAACATGCCTTGTATTATAGAACAGTGTTTCAGAAAAGAGCGTTAAGTGATGAGTCTGCATTAAAAGCAGCCAGTTTTGACATGTTTAAAAGAAAGTCTCCCTTTTTTTCCCCTCCCTCTGAGCCCACTTTTCATTCTAAGAATCTCTTCTTTTTTTTTTTCCACTCCCAAATCCAAACAAACTCTGCTGTCAAGCCCAAACACTCACTTTGCATTTCTGCCACATTCAAATAAATCATTCAGAACGAAACCAAACCTTCACATTTTCTCCTTCTCCCTTAAAAGAATGATGCTAAACCACCCAGCCAGCCTGGAAATCCATTTTTGCCTGGTTCCTGCTAAAACCCAGGACAGTGGGGTGTTGGCTGGGAGCAGGAGCGTGGGAGGTAGCAGCCAGGTGGGATTTTGGAAGTGCTGCCTACAAAGCACCTCTTGGTGCCAGGACATTCAAAAAAAGCAATTTTTACACAGCCTTTGTCCCTGCGAGACGGAAATAACGAGGGAGCAGAATGGGACCAGGCATGGGGAGGGAGATTTAGGAGCAGGTCCTGAGCACCACTCAGGTTACCTAGCGCCAGGCCAGCAAAGGAGGAGAGGTGGCTACAAGGAGCCATGTCCAGCATTAGGAATGGGGCAGAAGTACCTGGTTGCTCACGTTTGCAAGGAATAGAAACTCAGATTTAGCAATGAGTATTTATGAGTATTGAGGAAAAAAAAAAGGCATGCCACAGGGAATAACGGGGCTTTTTTGTGGCTGGCAGCTGAACGGAATAAATCTATCCACTGGGCATAAATTGTTTAAGCAAAAAATCCCTCTCAACTTGAATATTTTGCAAGAAAAATAGCAACAAAAAAAGCAAGAAAACTCCAAACCCTCATCCTTTTTCTCCTCAAGGTCAGAGTTGTTATTCTCTTCTGTGCAGGAGAAAAAACACCTTTCACTAGCAAGTTTAGCCGAAAGAAATGAAATATTTGGGAAGCGAGTGCATTGCTGCCTGGCCTGACCTGCCTGGCTGGATTAGGCTAAACATCTCTATGTAACAAGGAATTATTTTTCAGAAGCAAGTTGTGGGGAGCCTTGGTGGTGGGGCAGAGGAGCAAGTCTGGTGCAAGCGAGGAGGAGCACGGTGCTTCAGTAACCAGCCTGGTGTCTGCTCAGATGGGGATGGGGCAGGACCCCAGAGCCATGCGGGGAGCCCTGCAGCATCTCTGACCCCAGGGGCAGGATCCTGCTGCCATCTGCTCCTGCTCTCATCCCATGCACAGACACGACAGAGGTACCAGCCCCTCCTGTCACCTCCAGGAGCAGCCCTGGCTGTGGCACACAGCAGAGGTGGCAGAGGCACCAGCCACTGGGGCTACAGCAGTCAAGGAGCACAGCCTTGTGCCAGAGCAAAGTATCTAGAGCCTCTTCAAGTTATTATGCAGAGGCTGTGCTAAGGTTGCTGCTTTAGTGCACTGCAGGCACTAAATTACGAGGACATTTACAACCCACAATGCAGAGAAGCAGCTGCTAAAGGTGGCCACGGTGAGTGACTTCACCTCTGGGTGAAAGGCTTCCATGAAATCTCAGCCATGAGGGATCAAGACAGGAAAACAAATCCATCCGTCCACCTACTGCCTTGCAGGGCAATGCCAGTATATCTTGGAGCATCTGGGGCAAGTGGGGATCAATAATGACCTGCTCTGCTCAGTGCCAGTCAGGGTCTCAGACCTGCCCTGTTTGGAAGGATACTGAAGCTTGGTCCAATTAGCAGAGTCCTGGTGTGACAAACTGTCCTACCACCACCAGGACACCACTCAGCTGGAGCAAGCCCAAGGGACCTGCTCCCCAGAAATGAAGCTCCCCCAGAACAAGCCTCCCCCAGGCTCTGCACAGCACAGACCAGCAAGGCAGTTACCTAAAGCATCAAGCAGTTCCTGGTGGTAAAACAAGCCCTGGTGCCCACTCAGCCTTTTTCATTGCCCTTGATAGCCAAGCTGACTGCAGCTGCCAAAAAAGGGGGGGGGTCACACAGGGTGACAGCTCCTGTGCCTCCTCCTGGGAACAGCCAACACCACTCCCTTCCTCCTCCCACGTCCATGCCAAGCCCAGCTCACCAGGGCTTCCCACCCAGTGCTGCTCCTTCCTCCCTCTCCTTGCCCGGCAGGAACAGCCAACTTTAGCACTGCCCAAAACCCAGCACGCCTGCACGGATCAGCCAGCCATGCCCTGTGCTTTCCCTCTTCCCCAGTGCCATGGCATTGCCCAGCTCGTTTGCTGATGAGTGGCACCAGGACCTGTTCCTTGCAGGTCCAGGGATGTGCCATGCTGTGCTCAGCCAGGCAGAGAAGGGGATGGCTCTTGGTGGGAGCTGGCATGGATTTATCCCAGCCCAAGGCACGGAGCCAGGAAGCAGTCACCTCCTGGAAGTGGCTGAGGGGAAGGAGAAGCAGAGGAAGACAAGGCAAGAGTAGAGATGAACAAGACACACACACACGGGACAAGGAGAGAGGGATTAACTCGGCTCCAGCCAACACAAAGGGTGTGCTGAGAGGGGATCTCAAGGTCGCAGCGTGATGTACCAACCAGCACACGCACTAGCTTTAGTCAATAATT